ATAAATGCATTAAAAATAGACTTTTTGTAAATAAAACACATGGATGACAAAAGAATCAAAAAGATTAAACATTCACTGATAAGATAAGTTTCAAAAGTCCAAAAGATAAGTTATGCAATCTTAGTTTTCCCAAGGTTTTTTATAAACATCACAAAAAACAGAAAAGTGATCACAAATCATTGGAAATATTTTAACAATATTTGTTTTTATTCCGTTTAATGTAGTTATTTATTTAACAAGGAAAAAAAGATCTTTTATATTTTTTTAGGAGAAAAAACTCCCTTAAAAATCCCCTACTTTGGGGCTCTTGGTTGAGTTAAGGCTAGAGATGGTGTCTCACTAAAAATACTTTTCTTGGGCAGATGTTAACTGCATCCAGCTACTGTCTTGTAGGAGGCCTTCTAGTCTACTGTCTTGTAGGAGGCCTACTGTCGTAGGTGGTAGCTCATAAAAAAATGGTCAAATCTTTTGACCATTTTTTTATGAGCTACCACCTAGCACCTTTTCACTTTATCACCTTTCTCTTTGTTCTTTATCGTTCTCCTTCTTCCCAAGACTGCACTCTTTTAGATATAATTTCTGATTAAATAGCCCATGCACTCTCTCTTTACCCCTCAGCCAATATTGTTGCTATTGGTGATTTTAATGCTCATTACACTGAATGGCTAGGCTCTGACCCTGACCCTGCTGGCACTAAATCTGATGACTTCTACATTTCTAAATCTCTTACTCAGATAATTAACTTTGCGACTCGTTTTCCTGACAACCCTAATCATTTACCTTCACTCCTTGATTTTTGTCTTTCATCTTGTATTTCCTTTTCAGACTCACCCTATCATTGCACTACTTACTACTACCCTAAAACTGATTAGGATTCATTTTGTGATTTTTTTCATGATGGTCCTTAAACTGATGTCTTTCCCTCTCAGCTAAAAAATACGCCTTCTATGTAACTACCTGCAATAAATCGATATAAAAAGATGCTGTCAGATGCTAAGCTCCATTATTCTCAGTTCACTAAATCTCATGTATCTCAGAAGTTAAGCTCTAGAGACTTTTGGAAAATCTTCATTAACAAAGCATTAACAAAGGAAAGTCTAACATTCCATCTCTCATTCATGTGACTGATCTTTTTATCTCCCAAGGATAAGGCTGAATTAATTGCAAAGAGCTTCTCTTCTAATTCCACTCTCGAATTTTATGTCAATTTTTTTCCTTCCATTCCAATTAAACAGGTTAATCTATTGTTAGACATTCAAAGCATTCGAGCTTCCAGTGCTAAAGTCATATCTTGGTTAAACTCTTATGGTCTAGACAAAATTCCTGCCATAGTCTTACAAAATTATTCTCCAGAACTCTCTTCAATTCTCTCTAAAATATTTAATAAGTGCTTGACTGAGTCATGTTTTCCTGCCTGCTGGACAATGGCATCTGTTGTTTTAATTTACAAAAACTCCAGTGAAATTTCTGACTCCTCCAATTATTGTCCAATCCAAATTCTTTCTGTTATTAGCAAGATCTTTGAGTCTTTGATAAACAAATTTCTTGCATCCCATCTTGAGTTTAATAACTTCCTGTCAGCCAATCAATACGGTTTTCAATCCTCTCGCTCTACGGCTTACTTGCTAACTGCTGTAACTGAAAGATTATATTGTACATAAGATGGAGGCGGAGAGGCTAGGGCTATTGCTTTTGACATATCTAAGGCTTTCGATAAAGTTTGGCATGCAGGTCTTCACCATAAGCTTGTTTCATATGGTGTATCTGGGAAAGTTTTTGAGATTATCAAATAATTTCAAATAAAAGTAATGATATTGGATTATGGAGTTATCTATCTAATAAATATATTTCATTTTAGATGGAGCATGAACCAGAAAATGTTCAACAAGTAAATGACAATTTTCAAGCATGAAAACAAAATTACAAAAAACACGGTAAATTTTGCTCTCAGTCATTTTTTATTGGAGAAAGAACCAATGGTGTGAAAAATGATTGTGAAAGGCTAATATATTTGCCCTCAAAATGAAGTGCATTTTGCTTTGTTTATAAAGTTCTTAAGACTTCAATTACTGCCTCACAACTAATGGTTAGAATGATTAGAAAAATGATGTGTAGTTGTTAAAAAATTATTAAAAATTATGCCAACATAAGGAGGCTTTAATGGCTTATTTGGTTTGCTAAAGTAATAATACTTTCAATAATAAGAATTATAATCATGTTAGATCCAGAAAAACCTTTTTCTTCATACCTCTCCAAAACAGCTCATTGTGATGAGCTCATTTCATTGATGACAAACAATGTTCTGGAAGCCATTGTAGTAGGTGTGAAAAAATTAAAATACTTTGAAGTTACTGTTTTTGTTTGTTTTTTTAACATCTTCACTTCCAACAAGGCTGTAAGCAACCATTATTAGAGTTAGAAGTTACTGGAAGAGAAAAGATGAAGTTTATAGAGCAGGATAATAACAGACAACTTAAAAGATTGCAAATTATTTGAATCAGGAAAGCAAGATAAAGGGAAAAAACTACAAAGAACTGTTGTTTGAGGAAAAAAACTAGATAGATATAAAATTTTGGAGCACCTAGGAACAGTCACAGTAAAAGGATGAGACTCAATTGTTGAATACATCCTTAATTTATCACATAGATCAACTTTTTGCTGATCTACAAAGTATTTATAAACTGCAGTCAATAGAAAGACTTTTACATTTTAACAATATTGAGGATCACACTGGCACAAATTTGGCTGACATGACAGTCAATTTTTCAATTAATAAAGCTGGATTAAACATTTTTGACTGCAGATCTCAATCATACAATAGTGCTTCTAACATAAGTGGAAAATATGAGAGGATGCAGAAAACTATTTTAGAAAAAAAACACAGCCACAAAAACACAGAAAAACACAGTATTTACCAGGACATTCTTTAAATTTGCAGGACATTCTCTAAATTTGGTTGGATTGTGTGGAGCTGATGCTTGCATAGAATCTATCAAATATTTTGGAATAGTACAGCAGATATACTTTTTTTTTTCTTTATCTACCTAAAGATGAGGTATTCTGCAAAAAATATCTGAAAAATCCGTAAAATCTTTTTACAAAGATGAGATAACATGCTTGTGCAGATTCAAGGTAATAAAGAATAATTATGAAAATACAATGGATACATTAATTAGTATTTCTAAAGATAGTATTCATGACGCAACCGCAAGAGCAAAGGCGCTTAAAAATATTTAATTCCTCCATTTTTGAATAAATTTTTTATTTAAAAATGGAGGAATTTGAGTATGTACTGCAAACATTTTTTTGAAACCAAAAATTATGATAAAATGTATTCAGTATCCAAAAATGTGCAAGATCCAAAAATAACTTTGGATGTTTACTGCTCATTGTTATCATCACTTGCTGATTATGTTTTATTGTTGAAAGATTGCTACCATGTTATAGAAGAATAAGCTAAGTTATAACTACCTGATATTGACCCAAAGAAGACATTGAATTAAGAAAAGATTTTACAGTGGTCCTGAATCAACTATATGTTTTGAACCCTAAAGAAGATTTAAAACAGCATTTATTTTTTTAAATTTTAGATAAAATCTATTCAAATTTAAAACAAAGAGCTGTGCATATGAAGAAGCTTACATAGCTTTTGGATTTTTGATTTATATTAATATTACCAATGAGAATTTGAAGAAAAGTGTTAAATAAGTTGTCAAGCAGTACCATGGAAATACCAATTATTTAATATTTCATGAAATGTTGTTAACCCATGATTTCATAAAAAGTAATTATCCAGAAACAACTTTGACACATTTATTACTTGATAAGTTGACTAAAGAAAAAAAAAATGATTATAACATATCTTAATCTAAAAACAAATTTAATAATTTTATTTTTTTATAACAATAATTACTCTAGAAAAGGTTTCCAAAACTAAAGTTAATTAGGAGCTATTTAAGATCAACAATCATACAAGACACATTAAATAATTTTGCTATATTATCCAGTAATGTCAATATATTAAAAATACTTGATATTGATTCTTTGATTGACGACTTTTCAAGAAAAAAAATGCAGATAAAAAATTCTATAATAAAATTAGTTTTTAGTGCAAATATTTACTTGTTTATTTATATTTGTTTAACCAATGAGTTTAATCAATGAGTTAACAAATAAAATACAATAAAAAATAAAAACCGTAATTTCTTCTATAAAAAATCATGTCTATGTTCATAGAAATACAAAAATGTTACTGTTAGTTTTCAGACAACTAACCATAACTTATGTATTTTACAAAAAAACTCAAGGTTTCCGAAACTTGGCGCTGCCTAGAGCCCCCTAAAAGGGAAATCCAGACCTGTTTAAATGGTAAAGCAATACAACACATATGCACCATCAGCAGTAAAATAATGCATTTATTTAAACAGATATATAAAAAAAATATTTATAAAAGTAACATTCCATGTATTAAGACCTGAGAAACACTATTTTTACATTGGAGTTCATGAAAAGCTTACTGTTTCATGAGAGTTTTATTCAAGATTCTGAATAAGAATACTTGTACTTAAAGCTTTAAAAAAGCACTTTATTATTGTATACAATTAATTGTATACAACAAGTTTAAGAAGCTTTTCTATAAAAAGAAGCAAACTGATTGTTCTTAGATTTTTAAATAACTTTAGAGATTTTTTTTGTATTGTTATGCATTTATTTTTAATTGATTTAACTATATGCAATTATTTGATCGTACAAATGCAAAGTTTTCACTAAACAATCATTGTATTTATTTGTTTCATTGCAAAATTCAATTTTTTCAAAAATATTATAATTAAAATAAAAGTATTAAAGTTTATATTTATCGTTGTTAGGAAATAAGTGTTTTGAAATAAGTGAGAATAATAAGCATTTATTAAAACATTAAATATTTGTAACGAAATAATTAAGTTAAAATATAACGCAAGAACCGGAAAAATAATATTTTTTTATATTTGTGTCTTTACCTTTCAAATCTGAAACAGTCTCGTGCTTTTTATACTCGTTCATCTTGTTTATAACTTTGATTAATTTTTCTACATTAACAACAAATTTTCATTAAGCATTATTATTAATAAGCTGTAATAAAAATTTAATTTGATTCCTATGTTTACAGTTAAGACGCATGCCGGAATGAGATTTTTTCGCACTATTTCGCACTTTTTCGAATATTTTTTCGATTTTTTGGTATTCTATCACAGTTCAGAGTGTAAGATTGTAGAGTGCTGCAAAACTGTGTATCTAAGTAATCTGAGTAAACTAAATCGACAAATTGTCTCATTAGCTAATACATAGTCTATAAAAATATACTTTGGTCTGGAAGCTATTGCAAATAGCTTTGGTCTGGAAGCAATTTTCTGTAATTAAACAGAAAATTGTTGTTTTCTAAAATAAAAGATGCTGATTCTAATATAAATTCTTGAGTAAATCTTTTATCTATAATATCCTTATGTTTTGTAATCCAGAACTTTAAAGCTTCCCGACAAGAAAGGTATATGTGGCCTACATGTTGTCATAGTGCTTTCGTGTGGATTAAAAGTTCAAAAATATATTACAGTTAATGAATGACGTATTTGATGAAGGTAAGTGTGGCCCACTTGTGGAACATATAATGCGGTTCACATAACTATTCCACTTAATGTGGCATAATCCTTAAATAAATACGTGCTAAACTTGATGTGGCTATCGTATGGGCCATACATATAAAACCCACGATCTTGCCTCATTTTGAATTTTAAATTTTAACCAATTGCAATAATTTTATTGCAATGCATGGTAAACTCTAGAATATTCCATGATATCATGTGGCTTACCGTTTTGATAATTTTCAATTCATAACTGTTTTAAGTATGTTTGAAAGATAAAATAAATATTTATAAATGAAAAAGTGTTAATATATATAATAAAAAACAAAAGTCTAGGTGTGTTAGGACTTTTACTTTTAGGAAATTTGTTGGGATTTTTTTGTTTCCAGGCTAAAATCATCCCAATATTTTGCCAAACACCTTTATTTGACATAAACATATAAATGTTTGGAGTTTACCTTATGTCTGGAAGTTTGCTTTCTCAAACACCAAAAACTTCGCCTCCCTGTCTCAAATATCTAAATACTTGGAATATCTCTCGAATGAAACAAAAAAAAAAAACAAAAAAAAAAACAATACAAAGAAAAAACATTTTAAAAACATTTTTTATTCATGATTAACTCTTATATTTACAACCTTGCAATATTTTTTACTATAAAATAAGTTGTTCACATCCTTATACTAGAGTAGGTTACGGCCATTTTACGAAGCTTTTCTCCAAGGCAATTGCTCAGCATTGAATTGCTGCGAATCTTTTCATTGTCTTGTTAAGATTTTTGGGAACAGTTTCACAGCTTTGAAAAAAAGGAACAGTTTCACAGCTTTCATAAATCATGGAATTTAATATTAAAAACATCGAAGAAATAATAACAAAAAAACTTGAAGAGCAAAAAAAAAGTATATTGAAAGAAACAAAGAAATTATTAATTAAACAATAAAAAATTTTTACTCCATTAATAAGTTCAAACTTCAAAATAATAACAGCGAGACATGATAAAATGGATGTTGAAATAAACAATAATAAATTAAATATACAAAGCATTGAGAAAGAAGTCAACAACATAAAAGATGGTTTAAACTTTCAGCAAGAGAAAATTATAAATGAATTTTTGTAAATAAAATCTAAATATGACGGTGAAAAAATAACATTAAAAAAAAAATCTACTGACCAAGAAAATCGCTCTAGGAGAAATAATTTACGCAATGATGGCATTAAAGAAACCCCGAATGAAAACTGGAGTGGTTGTGAGAGGATTGTAAAGGAAATTTTTAAAACTTGACATATTAGATGAAGTAGTGGTGGAACGAGCACATCGAGTCGGTTCGGTTCATCGAGTCGGTTCATTCAATAACAGCAAAACACCAAGATCAATTGTGTTAAAACTACTCAACTATCAAGATAAAAGCACAATTTTAAATTCAGTAAACAAACTCAAATGATCGGAAATCAATGTTAATGAAGACTTCGCTCAAGAAACGATGGAGAAAAAGGTTATGGGAAAAAGTTAAAAAACCACAAAATGAAGGTAAATTCGCAGTAATTAAGTACGATAAAATTTATTGTAGAGCTTTTTAAAAAATAATCACGCGGGGATTTATTTATATTTTTAAGTATTTTATTTAATTTATTATTATACATACATACGGCTAACTTAACAATAGACTTTGAAAACGAATCGGCAAATGTTTTACTAAATGACTTTTATGATGCGGCATTTTTTCAATACAAATAATTTTAATTCGTCTTTCCTTGAAATGGAAACTTTTATAAATGAATTAAAAACCTTAAAAAATAACTTTACGGTAATACACATAAACATTAGAAGCATAAGTAACAACATTGATAAGCTAAAACATTTTCTTATCGAATGCAATTACTTATTAAGCATGGTTTGTATAACAGAAACCTGGTGTTCTGACGAAATATCCAGAACTAATTCAAATTTAGAAATTCCAAAATACAAACTGTTATCATATGAACAAAAATGGGAGGTAATCATTTTTAAAAAATCTTCTTAAAAAACAACAATAAGCAAAAAAAACATTTTGTATTGGGGACTTAAACATAGATTGTCTAAAATACGACGAAAATGCCAGTATTAAACTCTTTTTTGACGAAATTATTCGACATTTTATCTTACCAATTATAAACAAACCTACCCGGGTAACCACAACATTAGCTACTGCAATAGACAACATACTAACAAATGCAATTTTCGATGTTTCTCTAAAAGCAGGAATAATCAAGGCAGATATATCCGATCATTTTCCGATTTTTTTTTCCATGACGCAAGATATTCAATCTAGTAAAAACAACAATATCAAAATTTATAAAAGAAAAATTAACGTATGTGCTATTCAACAATTTAAAAACTCGCTATCGGCAGTAAAATGGGAAAAGGTATACCAAGAATGCAACCTTGCACCAACTCCACATATAATAATTTTATACAAATTTTCTTAAAAAACTACAAAAGTCACTTCCCATTCATGTAAAACTAATGAAAGAAAAATATTTAAAATGTCCATGGATCACCAAAGGTATAAGAAAATCTTCATAAAAAAAAAAAAAAAAAAACTTTATATCAAGTTCTTAAAAAATAGAAATGAATCCAACCTAACTGCGTATAAACAATACGAAAATTTGTTTGTAAAGATTTTAAAAAATTTTTAAAAAAATTACTTCTCGAATCAAATAAAAAATTTAAATGGTGACATGGGAAAAAAAATGGTGACACAAAAACATGGGAAGTTATGAAAGAAATAATTGGAATAAAAAACTATAAATCAAATAGCTTACCTAATAAAATTTTCATAAATAATAAAGAGTATATCAACAAATTTGAAATCTCAAAAAAATTTAACAAATTTTTTGTAAATTTGTAAACACTGGCCCTAATCTGGCCTCAAAAATTTATTCTCCTAATAACTCATTTGAAACTTATCTAGAAAACGTTAACTGCGAATTAATATTTAAAGAACTAAAAAATTGAAGAACTAGAAAAAAACAAGTTTCCAGGTATAGACGATATTTGCAGTAATATTGTTTTTAATGTTTTTTCAGAAATAAGCAAGCCTATTTTCGAAATTTTCAAATCGTCGATTAAAACAGGAATTGTACCGGAGAAATTAAAAACGGCTAAAATTATACTCATTCTTAAAACCGGTGAAACATCATCTTTAAATAACTACAGACCAATCTCCATACTTCCTACTTTCTATAAACTACTTGAGCGAATAATCTACAATAAATTATATAAATATCTAACTCAAAACAAATTTTTAAATAAAAAGCCATTTGGTTTCCAGACACAACACTCGACCGAACATGCAATTCTAGATCTAGTAAATACCATAAGTGATTCATTCAATAAAAACCAATTTGTACTAGGAACCTTTATAGATCTATCAAAAGCATTTGATACTGTCAATCATAGTATATTACTAAAAAAAATGGAAAATATGGAATAAAAAATATAAACCTTGATTGGTTCAAAAGCTACCTGTGTGGCAGACAACAATGCGTAATTTTAGACGATAACAAATATTCAAACTTTTTAGAAATAAAAGGTGGAGTTCCTGAAGGTTCCATTCTTGGTCCCCTACTATTTCTAATTTATATTAATGATCTTTCAAAAGCCTTTAAAAAGTTTGATGTTATTATGTTTGCCGATGACAAAAATCTATTTTATTTATCGTCATCCATCAAAGAACTTTATGAATCAATGAACGCTGATCATTAAATTATCTATACGTGCATCAAAGACTGTTTATAATTTACTCATGCCGATCCTTTACTTAAATCTTTAAACGCACTAAATATCTATCAAATTAATATATACCAAAATATTTTATTTATGTTGAAATACAAACTTGGACTAGTTATTTTTCTAATAACTTTTTTCAAATTAGCGCTAATAAGTATACTTTAAGAGGAACGGGAAATTTCATGTTGCCTATAAAAAAAAAGAAAATTTCGCAATATGCAATTGTATACCTTGGCCCTTACCTATATAAAAAAGTCATACTTCAAAATATAGAACTTAGTAATTCTGGTTATCTTTTTACCTTTTTTAAGAAAAACCTTAAACATCTCATAATTAATTCAACAAACTTTATCAATATGTTTTAAACATATTTGACAAGAAAGCGAAAAAGAAAAAAAAAATAACAAAATCCAAAATTCTTATACAACACCTACTAATTTTAATATCTCAATATTTTTATGTGTATTACTCTAGTAATACACATAAAAAAAAAAAAAAAAAAGCTTTGCTACTAAAAATACTACACTAAAAATTACTTCACTAAAAATTCCAAGGATTTGTTTTTTCTTTCTAAAAACATGATGAGGTGTGACTGTATGATGTGAAATTTCCAACCTAGGAAAATCTGGTGTGGCATATATTCTATCAGACGCTGGTGCAAGTTGCATATTTCTGAAACAAATTCCTGAATATTTCTGCTGAATTCAATAGAAAGCTTCATTCCAAAACATCCTTATGTCACTAACATGAACAAGTTTAAAGAAATTATGTTTATAAAAACTAATAAATGTAGTATAAACTATAGGTGAAAAAGAATTTACTAATTACGTACCCTTTTTGAATTTCCTTAAAGTCTTAATACAAGGTATCATCAGGAGAGGAGCTATAGGTATAAGTTCATCCAAGCAAGAAAGTACTTTTTGACAGTTAGGTCCGTCAAATCTTCCTCCATTGTAACCGTGTCTTGTTACAGTTTTACTAATAAATACCTTTTTAGTTGAGTCCTCAGCCATCAGAGCATCATGTTTCAAACTTGTGAAAAGCCCTCAACTTTCCATTTTTGTCATCTTTTTCTCCTTGACATTAACAGCAAGCATACTTTACCTCGTGTGCCATTAAGTCTTAGTATTAAAAAAGACTATATTAAAATATTAAGTTTAATATTGATAAAAAAATAAAAAGCAATCACTTTTTTTAAACTATCATGCTATTACATAAAGTTATTAACTAACAAAAATACCTGGTAAACAATTAATAAGGTTTAGATCAGCTGCTATTGTGTATTCTAGCTCATCCAGCTTAAGTAACTTATTAAGCTTCTCCAAATTATAATAACATTCTTCTCCAAATTATAATAACATTCTACTCAAAGTACAAGACCCAAAATAAGAACTGTATTGATCTCTATATTTTTTATGTTTCTTTTTTCTGATTGTAGTTCATCTGGGTGGAAGATGTTCATTATGACTTTCAGTGAGCCTTGACCCCAATCAATATTAACTCTTATAAAGCAATTGTTTTCTGTGTTCACAAATTTCTTTTATTTGTTCCTACGGTTCAGGAACAAATAAAACATCTTTCTGAATTCTATCTAAAACCATGCAGTTTTCATTGTTGTGTGTTTGTTGAAAACTGCATGAAATTACTTCACAAAATTGATTTATGCACATCTTCGGAGTAGAGAGTATTATGAAGAGCTTTACCACCTACAATATATTTACACATATTTTCCCAAGACAAATGTTCTATTCATTAATGTTTGACTTCGATATATACGTATTTATATATATTATTATAAAACTAATAATAAATATAGACAGACAGACAATGTTTTATTAACTAATGTTTGATTTTAATATAAACGTATTTTATAAAATTACTAATGAATATAGATAGGTAGAAAAATATATATATACACATTTATCTGTTGCTACAATTAATTCTTTATTGTCAGATGTTTTATACATATCTTTTAGTTCAGAGGAATTAACTTGTTGGGAAAGAATGACCTCAGATTTTGCAAGGGTGTCTGATACCTTTACATTCTGTGCAAAGAGATGCATTATTCACATCTGAGAACTCAGGTTCTAAACTGAAATCCTTAATAAATTTAGAAAGATTGATTTTTCGATGACTTCTTTTCTCTTTTGCAATACAGCAAATGGGACATATGTATAGACTTCCTTTAATCTACATAGATTCCGTATTGATCTTCTTTCAATCTTCCACAAATCTTGTGCGATTTGAGAAATATACTTTTTAGTCTAAAATTGTTTATTATTTTATATACATTTATATATATTTGCATTTTCATGAATCATCCATAAATCAACATTAATAACATACTTTTGTTTAACCTTTTTTAAATGAAGACATTTTTTACATGTTAAACAAACTCCAGAAGGTAGAGAATTGAATTCCAAACTAAACCCTGGATCCACATATAGAATAATGAGTTCTTGTTGTGCTGGGTTATTCTCTACTTTATGACATTTTGCGTCTTTATTTAGACAGAAAAAACAAACTATATTCCAGTTTTTCTTACGAAACTTTTGTCTTGTTAAGCTTATTTTGACACAATACTGGTAGTTATTTGATGAATCTTTGGCAATTTTTTTAAATTTTATAGTTAAAAATAAAGTAAACTTTTAAACAGCCTTTACGCAGAGGCCTTTTAAGGTCCAAAATAAAGCTTAAAAGAACAACAAAGGCATATTCTGCTTTTTTTGGTGTTTGAGAAAGCTAGCTTCCAGACATAA